GTTACAGACTTCTAAAGACAGCTGAGGCCTTGGCAATTCATGACTTTAAGGTAGACCTTTGTGTACAAAAGAAGTATGTACAATCCCTACTGCTGCCTTGGCCGTAGAGGGATAGACATTTATTTATTTTATTTATTTAGTTATTCTATGTACTTTTCCCTTATTACTTCGATTATTATTATTATTATCATTATTATTATTACGACTTTAGGGAAACACTTTCACTTGCCGAATGACATGCATGTACGTTCAGTTGAGGAATCCAAAATGGGACGAAATACTCATTCTGGAAACAACTAATAGTCACAACTATCCAAAAGAATCTATACTATCGTATGGAAGTAGTTCAAATATGCATAAATAAATGAAGTCGAAACCATAATCAACACAGCGAATCAGTATCAAAAGAAAGCAAATTCGATTTCATAGTATTCAACGGTTTCAACCATTTTATTGACTTCTGAGGAGATATAAAGAGATATGTGGTAAACTACTAAATCTTCAGACACTCCTATTACACATGATTTTGAATGCTTGTATTTATCGAAGAAGCGAGAAAGACAAAATTAGCAGCATAAAATCACATCGCTTTTACTTCATGGCGTTCTCATCAACTGCACGAACCATCTGAAGTGACATATTATACAATGCTAGAATGTGTACTCTTTTTTGTGTTTTCTGCCCTGGCCCCCACCTTGTTTTCTACTTTGAATTGCATGCAGGTTGACGGTGACTACTTGAAAAATGCCGTGACGCTAACATTTTGGATGCCCTAATTTATGTTATATTTTTCTGTGATATCGAATTCCACTAGTGAAACGTGTTATTTTGAGTCATTCTTCTATAACCATTGTCATTTCAGATAATGATTGACAGCAACTGATGTGAATCTGTGAATTGGGTCAATGATGCCGATTTATGCTATAAATTATATCTTGTTTTGGTGTGTTTTATCAGAAGAACTAAATGTATCAAAGTATATTTTAGTGATGCATTTTAACCGTATGATACACCACTTTTGTGGCATGTGCTACTGATAAGGAGCTATAATTAGTGTATTATGTGTGACGTCTTCTGTGAGCCAGCATTAGAGATCGATGGATCAAGCTGAAAAGAGCACAGATGAAGATCATTCATTGTGAAGCATTATACAGAAAAAATGAAGTGTTGAGAAAAGAAGAAGCGAAATAAATGGATCTGAGAACTCATAAGAAGGAAATTTATCTATGCCACTGAGAACAACTTCGAGGCATGTCACCAACAGTCTGCAATCATTGATTCTTAGAGTCTGGATGACCCCAGCCGGACAGTCTTTTCCTTCAAATGAGCACTCACAGACCTCAATAAAGGGTAGATATGTTTTCATTCGACCACCCTACTTAACTCTACCTCAGACTAACCCTAAGTCATTTAACATTGCTTAGCGAGGAGTGTGATACTTGGTTATTTCTTTCCCCTTGCGTCTATCCGTTGGTATAAAGCAGCAGAAGTCTTTTGGCGTTTACTGACATTTGGTTTCAGTTTATCAATAGTCTTTGGTAGTTTTTCTCAGGACGCATTTTGATGTCAGTCTTAGATAACTGTTTAGTCATTTTCTAAATATAGTACTACTTCCAGAACCTTACTAACCTCGTTCAAAGGCTATATGACAATGCTGCATGTGAAGTGATCCGCGAAAAAAAATCCAGCAATACCCCTGAAATGAAGACAGAATTATAGCAAGACTGCCGACAATCGTTCAAGATATACCAGATTATGGTGGATTTGTAGCATACTGCAGGCCATGAGGAGAAAGAAGACATGCATATGATGGACAGACAAAAGGACCCCAGAAGACCTGAACTTTACAGATGATTTAGTTTTAAGGTCACACAGGCACAAACACCTACAAGCAAAAACGAACAACTTGGCAGAAGAGTCAGGTAGCAAAGGCAGGAATTCAGGTAAATACAGACAAGACTGGCCCTATTCAGGTTCTAGTGGGAATTTGTGACCAGTAGGGTGCAGCAGCTCGGGTGTGAGGAGAAATACTCGCCATGGATGACATTGGCTAATGGTCGTGCTATATCGTGAATTGGCAGAAGTTGGAATTCATGGACTGGCCATTGGATCGGGTCCCAGCGGCTTAATGGTCTACGAGCTCGCCATGTAACCAGAAGGTCCTGGGTTCGAACCCCGCAGTGTGGGTGCGTGATGATGAAGAGTCTCAGGCACTAGGACGAAACAGCTGTCCAGTACTCCCAGATTATCCGATGGCTCTCTAACCAGTGTCAGCTCACGATGAAACCCTATAACCAATCAATCAAATCCCTACAAACCAATACTTAAAAACCTTGATTCATCTAAAATTACTATAGTGAGCATAAAGAGCAAGATTCGGATTTTAACACTAGTGTCAAGTCAGTGAGTGCTTATAAATAGTTCAGAGGCTTAGTCAGCTACTGGAAGTATTTCTAATGGGGTACAGTAGACTTTCATGGACGGCTAGCAACTCTATCTAGATGATGAAGATCAGACGAGCAATCCGAAAGGATAAGCAACAAGGAACTGTGGGAAGTAATAAACCAAACAAGGTTTATGAATTTGTCGTCGGAGAATGGATTCCAGTACCTCTATGCGACTAGCAAGTATTCAAACATTGAACCACGGATGCACATGGCATCCTCAATATAAGAACTAGATATATGAGCAAACAATACTGTTTGTAATTAGATCTTCTACAGGCTTTACTGTGATCCATTTAGCTTTATTCATAAAAAAATTTAACTAGCGACGGTTAATTTGTGGATTAAATACTACTACTAATAATAATAGTAATAATAATAAAAATGTGCTAAATATTTCGAACGTCAATAATAACAATGATCATATTGATAGTGCGTCGGTGGCACAGTGGTTAGGACTCTCGCCGACCATGCACATGGTCCGGGGTTCGAGCCCACGCCGGCGCACACCCGATATCTATGGTCGGCCTGCTAAATTTGGGCTACCGATATCCATGCTGAAAATTCCATACTTGTACCAAAAATACGGTGTGGAATCAAGCTGTAATCAAAAAAAAAATTAAAAAAAACAAATGATAATAAGGTTTCTGCAGGTGGCGATAAGAATAACAAAGGTAGTAATACATGTGTATATGTAGACAATTCAATCAATAAATGATTAGGTCAAATCTTAGAAGTTACGTAATACTAAAGGTGAAGTGGACAGATAATCAGAGTTTAAATAAATATCATAAAAGTACGAAGGCAATGAAAAATAAGAAAGGGTGGGAGGATTTTGAATAGAATTCACTTAGGCGAGCAAGGGAGAGACAAAGCTTGAACAAAAAACTTTTGTATGCAAATCCTAGAATTGGTCACTCCAATTCCTATAGCTCCGGCCATGTTTAAAAGGCGGGTTCAAAAGTTTCAGTACAATGTGTGATAGATAACTTTGAACGTGTTTCTTCTGTCCACTTGGTGACCACTGTCATCAATCGAAATGCGACGAAATAGAACTTCTTATAAACTTTGTTTGACCTTTTTCAAACTATGAAGGACGATGCTTATTAAAACATTTGTTGAGCCGTCTGGCTGTTCGCCCTATATAGCTTTCTTCGTAGGATCAGCTAAAATTTGTAAATGCACATAGAATTGATACGGCTAGGTAGCTTGTCTTTCGCCTGAAAAATGACGAACAAAGGGTAGTGACAATATAAATCCATTTTATTGCTCTAGATAATCGTAGATTTAGGAATTTACTAGCCATGTCCCCATTGAATGGCATTTCCAGGAAGAGTTGTTTCCTCTTTTTAACTGTCAACTTTATTTATACCTGGTGTTCATGTGTCTCCTGACAAATCGACTAGGATAACCCATTTGGATAAACGGATTTCGGATGTATCTGTCCTAAATCATTTTCTCGGGAGTAATCTGCACAGATCTTTGCTGTTCTATTCATGAGACATCTGACCAAATTGACTTGGTAACTGCCTGATACAGAGCTGAAAAAGTGTGTTTACTGTCCTACACACATAGGTTTTCTGTAGAAATCTCTCTTGATGGAACCATCCTGTCTTCTTCTCAACTGGACATCAAGGAAGTGTAATATACAATCACGTTCTTCTTCACAAGCTATGATCAACGGTGTAAGTGCAGCATTAACATTTCATTAACATTTCATTCTTTTCAGCTTTCTCTCCAAGAATAATAAACCTATCATCAGCATAGCGAAAATAAGAATCCATTTTTAATCTTTTACTTGTTTCAATGGACCATTTTCCAGTTTATTAAGAAAGAAATCTGCCAAAGTCGGGACCAATGGAGAATTCATGGCAATACATTCGATTTCTCTGCAATAAAGGTTCCTGAACGTGACTTGTACATTCATTGGGGACCTTAGAAGCACCTGTTTGAGACTAATATTTGGAATTCCAATATCGAACTGCTTTTCTAGTATTTGTTGGCACGTGAATTTCACAGTTTGGATAAATGGTATATTGGAGAACAGTGATGCAATATCTAAGGGTAGCATTTGATTCCCATTTACACTGACATCATTTAGCCTAGAAATGAATCTAGAGACGTGGTTAACACTATGACGTGTCACTTTCTTGTGTAATGGTTGGAGGAGTTCACCTAGCTACTGTGACACACCACGGTAGGTGGCATTAGACATGTCTAGAACTGGGCTAAGAGAAAGTTCCGGTTTATGTAATATGAGCAAACTATACAGTTATGCAGAATTACTCCCAGTAGGTTTATGGATGTTTTAGGCTGTCTCTAAGACTGTTCCACTTTTTCTCAATTCCTTAAGAGTGTTTGTTAGCTGCTTTTCCTCAGTATATCAGTTTCATAAGATAAACCAATTTATAGTACGAAGTGATCCGTTTAGTAAATTTCAACAGATATCTTTAGTTACTTAAACAAATATGAGTAGCATAATATGGATCAAAAATAAATACAGGACTTGCTGCGATATGAAATAATGTGTATGTCTATTTGGATGCATAAACTCACCAATAGTTTGGTACATACATTTCTATTTCCTTCAGTCAAATCCTTATTTAGACTATCAAGAGCTGACAGTCTTTCCTTCTGTGCTTCAATAACAGCTACAGTGTAAATAAAAACAAAATGAATCGGTCATGAATTGAGTCTAAGTAATGTAGGGTAGAATGTCATCTAACATCAAAACATTTGAAACCACCTAAATGCGTCTGGAAACCAACACTTGTAAATTAATCTGATTCCCACTAGTGAGCGACTATAGGACTAAGTTTCCTGGCCTTCTGCTGAGACGTCATAACCAAAAGATTCCATCAAGTCACAGGTGATGATACTGGCTGCCGGTGGCACTATAAGTTACGAGCTGATAGCAGCTGGAATTCATGAGCCACTGGATTCTGACCCAGATGCTGAATGTTTAACTGGCATCCATCAGGGTCCTGGATTCAATCTCTTCTGGAATCATATGTGCTTACTGCTGAATAGTCTTAAATTAGAATTAGGCAGCTGTCCAGTGTGTTCCCAGGTTTTCAAAGAATCTCTAACTGACGTTGGTTTGTGACACAAAATCTAGTGATAGTGATACATCTGTTAACTATAAGTAGTGAGTACCAACACCTCAAACAAGAATGGTGAATTATTAGGAAAATTAATGCTAACCAATAAAGGGTAGAAGTGTTTCTGGAAATTAAAACAAGTTTTTGCATTATGCATGAAATGAAAAGAATAAACGATCACACAAAAAATAGTAAAGGTGAATGTTTGCAAGGCATGTAGGAGATCTGATTTCTCTTCCTGACCACCGATGCATTCATAAACCTCACCCAGTTTATTAAACGGTAGTAAGCTTCGAAGAAAGAGAAGGTTGGACGTTAAGCTGTCAAAACCACCAAATAAAAATACTAACACTGCTTAAACTTCAAGAGAAGCTTGAAGCTCTATATATTTCACTTGAAACACAAGGGACCAACGAAATTAAAAGGTGAAATGGGAAGAATAATAAGATAGTCAGAAGTAACAGTGGTATTAATAATCATAACTTATAAATGCAATATAGAGCGGAGTAAATAATTAGTTGTCAATAAACAGAAAATATGTTTCTTCGCTCAATTTATTGTGTCTCCTCCACCACCACCACCCCCCACCCAAAAAGAAGACATTTTGTCTCATACCTCGCATTTCAAGTACAATATAAGGCTTTAATCTTAATTCCAATAGTAATAGTAGGCTGGAATTGTCAGTCTCACACCTAACTGTCCTAGCCTTTTCTCCATACTTACTACTGGCTGTTGCTAAACCAGCTGAGGTCCGGTCATGGAATCGAATCTATGCCCTCGCAGTTGGTTAGTGGGCATTGTACCATCAAATAACAGATGTTAGAATAGAAGACATGCTTTTCACAAATCCCTAAAAACGTGGAATATGTTAAAATATATGAAAAATATATCATATTATTATTACTGAATTCTCTGAACTGAGAATAAAAGAATATGCTTAAATTATTAATAATGAACAAACTTAGAGTTCCTTCATGCTGTTTCTTTAAACATTCATGTCTTTGAAGCAGTTCATTGTACAAATTTTGGAGTATAGTTTTCTCGATGGAGAGATTTTTCAGCTGAACATTCTTGTCTCTTAATGCAGCTATCTATGGTGCAGAGAGCGAAAACATTTTAGAGAAGAAATAATTAAATGGTTTCATACATTTATTCCCCTTAATGAATTTGAACAAAAAGCAAGAACTACAGTTTTAGCAGAATAAAATGGTACCATCTTTTATTTCGTTGCCTTCTCGTCAGCTGCTTACATGGCAAAGACATTATTAAATATATCTACAACAACAATTTTAACATACTTGCCCACACAGAGTTCATTTTAAACAAAAGTCAATCGATCAATATACTCATACACTAAAAATATATACATATATAAATATGCAATATTAACCACCATTCCGAACAATAATAATCAAACACAATGGAAACTTCTGGCATTTCTTATTCGGATGAAAGAGAGGTGAAATTATCCAGTTACCAGGGCAAAGAAAGGCTGATAACCGCTTCTTTCTGGACGCATAAATCAGGTTTTAGGCGCTTGATGGAAATGGCTTCAGCAAACTTAAGGAGAATTGAGCTATTTTGCTTATTGATAATTTTGAACGACTTTTCAACGTCCACCTCATGACCTGTGTCGAGAAGATGCCTGGTGATGGCACTGTTTAAAGCATTTGTTCCACCACTATTCCGAACAATAATAGCTCAATTCTCCTTAAGTTTGCTGAAGCCATTTCCATCAAGCGCCTAAAACCTGATTTATGCGTCCAGAAAGAAGCGGTTATCAGCCTTTCTTTGCCCTGGTAACTGGATAATTTCACCTCTCTTTCATCCGAATAAGAAATGCCAGAAGTTTCCATTGTGTTTGATTATTATTGTTCGGAATGGTGGTTAATATTGCATATTTTATATATGTATATATTTTTAGTGTATGAGTATATTGATCGATTGACTTTTGTTTAAAATGAACTCTGTGTGGGCAAGTATGTTAAAATTGTTGTTGTAGATATATTTAATAATGTCTTTGCCATGTAAGCAGCTGACGAGAAGGCAACGAAATAAAAGATGGTACCATTTTATTCTGCTAAAACTGTAGTTCTTGCTTTGTTCAAATTAAATGGTTATATGCATATATACACATATGTGCTTCAAAGTAGATTTCATTATGAACTAACTCGTCATTTAGAGAATTACTGAAAACCAAGTGGCCCCACTGGAGAGCTGTTTTATCCTAGTTGGCGAGTCTTCGGTAGTATACGCACACGACTCCAACAGTGGTCGGAACATATGGGATCTTTAAGTTTCAAGGTTAAACTCGTTGACCATTCAACCAGGTCAGCTGGGATTCAAACTTCCTTCTCAGTTTGTGTGGTCCAGCGTTACCGTCAGTATATGCCTTAGATAAGCATTCACTCCGGTTTAACACAGTGAACCCACTGTTGGTTCACGATGAAATCTACACTGAAGATAAACGAAATCCTCAGATCATATTTGCGATTCGCAAACTAATTTTCAGTTTAAACGGCTCAAGAGGGTAAAATTCCACCTGTAGAAACAGAATTTATTCAGACAAAATTAAGAAATGAAAAGAACAAGTATAAAAATGTATTCAATACATTGTGAAAGTAGGCCAGTGGTAACTTTTCTGGTGGCATCATTGGCTGAAACATGTTCACATCTCTGAAGGGATATCGTTGCTAGTGGCGGATTTTATCGACAGCTTCTCAACAGTTGCCTCCAACCATCTAACACTAGTTCAAAATGCACCGTAATTATGTGTCATCTAGTTTGGTGACCGAATTGTGAACTTGACTAAAATTAGAATCTATATTCTAATAATTAAGCACATGACATGGGCGTTAATCTATAGTAACTAGACAATAATACCCATAACATTCCACTAGTTTAATAATAGCATTTAAGACAGTAGTATTGGGGAAGATACGTGTTTGAATCTTTAGTAGGAGATCATTTCCCTGTCGAGGCTGTAAACACACCCAATCGGTTAGTTTCAGTAAGCACAAATAACTACTTAAGTGCTTCTAATCAATCGTCCGCACAAACACCTAACATTACTACCACTATTACTAATTATTATCATTATTTCAAAAGTTAAAATATGCAAGGTTTAGCTGACATTAAAAAAAAAAATATTTATACTTACTATCTCATGAGCAAGTTTCTCAATATCATTTTGTATCCTCCCAGCTTGAAATGAACTATCAGTGAGTGGATTTACACCTTCGCCTGAATTGTTCACCCTTGAATCTTGCAGTAGATTTGTGTTCTCCTGGTCGTGTAAAGCAGCGGCTTGATATAATGTATTTAGCATTTTTGTAGAAAACAAATATGACAAAATTTCTTTTATGAATAAGATTTGAATAAATTGAATAACTTATGGGAAATAATCACCTAGAAGAGTTCATAGATAAGCTTGTCTAACTTCATTACAATTAATCTAGACCCATATAAAACCTCAGCCTCCAATTGATTATTAAACAGGCTGTAGGCTTTTATAATTACCAACCCCCTACTCTCCATATTGAAGATTTGATGATTAGAAGGGATTATAAACAAGAAGGTTTGCCAGAGAACCAACCAAAAACTCACTGCTCGACAAGCATTCAGAAAGAAATGAATCGATTAGATATACGCTGAGGAGACTTTTAGGTGATATAATAATGCAGATAAATCCTGAAGTGAGGCCCGGGTGTATAGTCGGCGGCAAAATGGGTGTCAGCTAAAGAATGAAATACAGGAGATCGTGTGCGGGACAACTGTGGAACTAGCAACAAAAACGCTGCAGAGAATCTAGTGAAATGGTAATATACTTCTGAAACTCCGTGTTCCACTCGGAATCCATAGAAATAAAAGTAATAATAAATAATATGAACTATTTGAAGTACTAGGATACGATTAGTTATTAATGTGTACTTTTATTTCATGTGGCTAATTGTCAAATATGTTATTGTATTATTCTCAGCCATGACAATTCTAGAGCAGTTGTGGAGAAACTACGAAATGATATCATCTCACGATAATATTTGTCTTCTTAATGCCATATTTAAACCTATGCAAGCGATTAACCGCCTCAAAACTCCAACTGAAACAAAGCTTTCTTGTTAGAGGATGAATCGCCATCAGTTGTGGCGTCACTGTCTCATGTCTTGCAGGTCCTTGATTTGACCCCCAGTAGGGTCACTGGTGTGTACTGTCGAGGACAGTCACGAAGAAGTAGAACTAAACAGATGTTGGCTTTCAATAGTTATTTCTCTAACTGTGGTTTAATTTCATCATCTTGTTATTGTTGTTTTGTTTTTTTCATTTTGTCCCAGTGAAATATAGAGCTTCAAGTTTGGGCCTTGAAGCTCCAGTAATACTGATGTTTATTTTTTCCTTCGGTAGAATTGCTAGCCTCGCATCCAACCTACCCTCTTCACCGGGCTTACTGCCGACTGAGTGTGGTTTGGGATTGCGTCAGACAGGAATCTCACCCCGTTAGAAGTGACTGGTAAGTATCTTACCAGTAGTTAAATCCCTACAAGCTAAGATTTGATAAGCGGTCACATGATAGAAAAATAGGTTATTAGACTGGTGAGCGTAGAGCCTAATGTAGAAGGTCCGTCAGGTTTTAGACTAAGCAAAATATAGCGGTCATTTGGTGTTTGAATCAGTGAGAGGATGGTGAGTGCATTATACTTGGGGTGGTGAATTGTTGTTAGTTGTCTTAAGTCCCTATATTTAAATACATCTCTCAACAAGTGTAAGTGTAATACCCTTCTATCTTAGGCAAATGGTGTTATCACTACCCTGGGCCCCAAGTTAAGGTTAGTCATACAAAATAATCAGCAAGTCGGGCAGTCGTCTTGACCCATTCTGTTTCACTCTTATACTTGTCAAACTCTAATGATTCTCTTCACTCATCTTCTTGTCTATCTTTGTGTGCTATTTGGAACGTGGCGACTCAAACTGCTGCACTTCGGTGCCAAGTTCTATGTTGAATCCAGACAGTCAGACAGTGTCCAGGAATTAGTGAGCGTATTCTCGTTCACTGGTTATTAAAGGCTCCTGAAATCCCAGACAGAAACTAGCAGTTTCATCAACTCTCATAACAATTGTCACACTATTGTCTACCTTTAGGTAGAGTGTCTTTTTTGGCACCATGTATTTTGGCGTTACACTCGCAGCCGAATGTTACCATAAAGCCGTACGATTGCCGGAGCTGAAGGACAAATTCACATGGAAAAGTATTAAGTTCCCTACAAACTCATCAACTGAGAATATGAAAAGTATCTAATCCCTCAGCATCCTCGCCTATGTGTAAAACTCCCAAGTTTGCCTTCCAGTTGCACAGTCAACCTATACACTATTACAGAGTTTTGGATTTAAAGACCATATTAATAAAGCTAATTTTCATATGGTGGCGGAAGATTTGTTCCCTATCCTAACAAGATGGGATAGTCAACGATTTACTTCAGGCTAGCAGAACTAATTCTGACCACAAAGACCAACATTTAGTCTATTCAGTAATTACTTCACACTAACAGTAAACATCTTTGGATTAAAATTTGTACTCTGTTTTGTTAAAGATGAGAAATAAGTTTTTCAGCCTTGGCTAGAACAAAAAGACCAACATCTACGTGTCATATTTTTTATTTTTATTTATTTTTGATTTACAGCTTGATTCCACACTGTATTTTTGGTACAAGTATGGAATTTTCAGCATGGATATCGGTAGCCCGAATTTTGCAGGCCGACCATAGATATCAGGTGTGCGTCGTCGGCAGGGGATCGAACCTCGGGCCACGTGTATGGTCGGCGAGAGTCCTAACCACTGTGCCACCGATGCTAATGTGACTACTGCTCAAAGTATTTATCCCAACAATTTAGCGTCTACCCTCTTCGTTTCAAACGCCTATTCGATCACTGCAACTATTTAGAACACATTTCTTTGATAAACCTTTTCTATTTTCGTCTTCTTTACTTATGTTGATTCACTTGGATAGTCCATGTCATTACTACCACAAATTTAAAGATTCTCCGGAGGCATTAACACACCAAAATAAACGAAAGCAATTAAGGGTATCGAAATTCTCTCAGTCAATAAGCATCTGTTAAAAAATAGACAAATAATAGTTGTGATTAATAATTAACATTTTCGTCAAAAATACCTTGAGAGGGAGATGTAAAGTCCCATTATATTCCGATTTTACTTACAGATTCTACAGATTGAAAATGGAATCAGCCAAAAATAAACTTTCTAACACTGAATAAGGCTTGATATTTTTTCCTTTTTCACATATCTTATGATAGCTATTTCGGTAGATATTCAAGCAGACATGGCTTTCATCGATCCAAACTTACGCTGTTGGCAAGTGCATCTAATATGGACTGAACATAAGTACTGAGATATTATGATCAATTAATAAACTTGAAACGCAAATGCATAACCAAGTGGTTTGATGAAAACTTTGGAAATTTTAGAAGATGTAGTAGCTCAAAGAAAACATCAACCTGTTCAAGTCCTTTGAATTTAAAGTGATGTTTAGCTACAAAGTAAATTTCGAACTCTTTTAATTAAATTATTCTTATACATACTCTAAATCCTGTAAGCTAAGTTTCAGAGTAGTTTTGTGGTGATTGACAATTTCTATCTCTGTATTGTTTAAATACTTACTGTTGATTGTTAATATGTTTCTTATATGAATTGCATTAGAATTCCGCTAAATACAAATTCCTGAATTCCGCCCTCTCTGTGTTTTGGTTGGATTCGTGTAATTCGGTCACCTCGAAATACTAATACTACGATTACAATTAATTACAGCAAATTGGCGTCGCGATGGAACTAAATAACCTTGGAAAATTTCCTATAAATGGTTCTCCGCGGGAAATTGCTGATTACCTTGGATGCTTCGATGCGTGGTGCATTTCAAAGAACGTTTGGGATGACAAAATACCAGCACATTTCATCACTGCTATTGGGTTAGATGCATATAGCCTAGTGAAAACTCTGTCGTTTCCAGATAAACCGATTTCTCTGCCATATGGTAAGCTCCGTGAACTTCTGATAGATCACTTCCATATAACTACTTTTGAGACACGAGAGAGAGCTCAATTCAACAAACTGGTTCGTGCTCCCAATCGGAAGATAAGAGACTTCATTCTTCAACTTCAAATTCAAGCTTCAAAGTGTAACTTTGGAGATCAGCTGCATACTCAACTACGTGATCGTCTAATTGCTGGAATCAATATTCCTAAGTTAGAGAAAGAGTTAATTCAGATTCCTTCTTGTACCTTTCAAACTGCTAAAGATTTATGTATTACATATGAAGATGTCAACAGTGAATACTCTGCTCCCACTACGTCAGTATCTGATGTCATGTTGTCCAAAGTCGATAATATAAGTGGTCATAGAAAGAAATCCAAACTGTCTTCCACATATAATGGAATGCAGCTAGAGAGCAAAAACATTAAACTGTGTTTTTCCTGTGGAAAGATTCATCTACGAAGCACTTGCCGTTTTCGGGGTGCTAAGTGTCATAAATGTGGTAAAGTTGGACACATCAAGACTGTTTGCAGAAGTTCGAATACTTATGTTACTCAGAATTCTTATAATTCTCCCAATTTATCTAGTAAAATGGAGTCAATGTGTCTTTCAACTTTTCAAAATACTCAATCTCATCCAATGAAAACCTCCACTACAAGTTCAGCAACTCAAGCATCAACTGTTTTCAAAAATGTGGTAGCCGAGTTACAATGCGAACTGTCGAAAACACGAAAAAAACTGGATGAGATGAGAGAGCAACTGATTAAAATGGAGGAATTACTGCATATGCATAGACTGCGTCTGTTGAATGCAGAGCATACAAGTACCCGTGAAAGTCCTGCAAAACTTTTCAAATCTCGAATTCTCAAAAAGCATCTGATGTCCACGACTTCTAATGTACATTATTACAAAGGGAATGACTATAGACCTTCTCTTGGAATCATACTACAAAAAATGAGAAATCGAGTGGTGAAGATATTAGACATCAAAGATCACTCAGTTCATAACAGACACCTGGACAAAGTGACAATAAATGAAGTAGGTCGTTCCAATTATAATTTTAATGATTCCGCCACTAATCCTGATTTTGTAGATAATTCAGAAATAAGTCCAGATAATACTTATGAAAATAATATCACAGAATCAGTTAGAAGGTCGCAGCTACTTGCAAGCAAACCGAGACATCGTTATAAATACGCAAGGAGATATTCGACGTGTGGTGGATGTGGTGATTGACAATTTATATCTCTGTATCGTTTAAATACTTACTGTTGATTGTTAATATGTTTCTTATATGAATTGCATTATAATTCCGCCCTCTCTGTGTTTTGGTAGAATTCTTGTAATTCGGTCATCTCGAAATACTAATACTACGATTACTAACAATTACAACAAGTTTGCTCAAGCAACTGAAACTTTCGGTAAAAACGTTACTCTAAAGAAGGGTATATAAAAGTTACCTTTTGTTCTTTAAGTCCTTGGTAGTGGATATTCTGTCATTTATAAAAAACTTATTAAGCTACAAGTAAGTTGCATAGACTTCTCTGCCAGATATACAGACTGCCTTATTGACAGTATTTTGCACAACAAAAACAAGTTAGCCAGTATTATTGTTGAGGGTTATTGTTAACAAGACATCATTTCCTACTAAAGAGGCCATGAGAGATAAAGTGTGTCCTTTCTCAGACTATTCTGAAATATTTGATCAGAGATAGATTTACCCACGCTTACTAAAATGCTGAATTAAATCTTGCTAATTATCAGCTAACTCTAACATTCTATAGTGAGTAAATTCTTAATCTCTTCTGAAATGGTTTGATTATCCGGACAGACTAGAACTCAGTGATGGTTTTCAGCATGACTGGCACTAATTCAACACACTGTTCTTTTTCTAGGCATTCTGAAGAGTATATCAGAACGCGCTTTGAAAAAGGAGAGTGGCATTTTTAACGTTGTGATGTAAATTCTGCTTTTGTTGTTTAAACCATATCAGAAGCTTTTTAGTTCACTTTAACTGATTTATTTAGTTGAAGTGTTGTTTATTTTATTCACATTTTGTGTTTTGGTTGGTATTTACCTAGCTGTTATCACGTACATATAATTGTCTGGTTGAAACAAATTAGAGTTATAGGCCCAACTAACAACCGTGGACGACCGGAGTGCCACTTTCCTGTGGATGATGGGATGCAGTGTGACAAGTGCAGCCTATGTTTCCACAAAGTTTACACTGGTTTATCACCAGTAGCCTATAAGATATGTTGCAAGCCATCATCTCCATGGCTGTGCAAATTTTTCAGTAACCCGTTGGATGTCCTCATCCAAGAGGCAGCAGGACTCCTGATATCCAAGAAATTGTCGAAAGACATAATTGAAAAGCCTGCACGCCAAAGCGCAGCGTGTTTAGTGCACGAATGGCTTCTAGTCACTGCGAAAACAGAGTGGGAGAAACCGACTCCACTTGGTTGGTGCTGAAAGGTAAGAAGCAAAATAAACCTAGGAAAGAAACAGTAGTCGAGTTAACCAACAAGGTCTCGACGGCTGTTAGTACCAACCAAACTCAGAAACCCACGAACTCTAGTTACAGTGTTATCATCTGGAATTTGGAGGAATCTAAGGACACAGATCCAGCTGCCCGACATGCAGATGATCTGAAGGCGATTAGCTCCATTATCCGGGAAATACTTCCAGAAAAAACAATAGGAGTACACATAAGAAAGGCCATCAGGATCGGAAAACGAAACCCTGATACCACAGAAACTTCTCGACGACTAATTAAGATAGTTTTAAGGAACGAAACAGAGAGGAGCACCATTGTCAACAACGCGCTCAAAACCAACGATAAAAGTTTAAAAATAAGGCCTGATTGGCCTTTAGAAGATAGAATCAAAAGAAGAGAAGCCGTGGCTGAACTAAAGGCCAGGCTAGAGGAAGGCGAAAAAGACCTCAAGCTATTGGGTTTTCGGGTGGTGAGGTCTCGGAAACCGATGCTGCCGAGACCTCTCTTGATAAGCCAGATGAACAAGTAGGTGTTTCGGTGTGCTATACGAACGCATGTAGTCTTAGGAATAAGCTCGCCAAATCAGGAGAATTATCTGAAAGATTACAACCTGATGTGATTTCTATCACTGAGACATGGTTGTTAGCGGGTGTAGACTTAACTCCACTCATACCTGGGTATATCTGCATACGAGCAAACAGAGTAAGTAGTCGGAAAGGTGTGGGGTTGCTCTATACATCCGGGATGACATAGGGATCAGGTCAACGTTGTCAGAAGCTCATGATAGCGGCACCAGTGAAGCCGCAAGTTGCTTCATTAGCTTTAACAAAGGCACTTTAACGATCGGAGTTATTTACAGAAGTCCTGCTGGCCAAGCTGATGACTTCGTTCTAAATCACTTGAGGGCGTGGGGTAGTAGAAATAGGTGTCTGATTGTTGGCGACTTTAATGCTCCACTTATTAATTGGAGGGAATTAAACTCCACTAGTTTGTATACCTGTTTCAATAGGGAGCTCAGATTGACAGTGCTTGAATGTGCACTCGTGCGACATATGCATGCACCAACACGGTATCACCCTGAACATGATCCATCTACTCTAGACTTGGTACTGACACATCAGAAGGAGGACGTTGGTAACATTAGGTGCCTTCCGCCGCTTGGCAGCAGTGACCACATAGTCATTGCTTTTACGTTTAGGATTCATTCTCTCATACACAGGCCAAAATCTGCTCGTCCGAACATTTGGAAAGCGGATATACAAGGAATCCGGAACGCAGCAACTGCGGTTGACTGGTCAGTTGATACAAGTCGGACTGTCGAGGAAGCTTGGGTAGGATTTAGGAATACACTAGATCGTGTCACTTCACCTTTAACTTTAAACTATGTAGAACTTTATTTATTGTTAATGTAAAAAACTGGATGCAATATTGTAGTAAAATGCTGAGAATTCCATTCTGTATCACAAGTACTGATTTGGAATAAAGCTTATGTTATGTTATGTTATTTATACCTTGGTACACTCCTCGAAAGCTGTTGCATGAACCACCTTGGATCACTAGTGAAATAAGGAGGTTATTAAGACGGCGAAAGAACTTATGGGACCAATTTGTTATGACAGGAAGGGAAAACTTCCAGAAAGACTACCGCAAAACTCGAAACCTCTGTAAGTATGCGATTAACAAGAGTCGTATAGAGTACGAGAGACGATTAGTACTAGATTGCGTTCATTACCCAAAAAGGTTTTACTCGTATATTAAACGTAGGACTAAAACTAGCAGTGGTATACCGTCACTCATAACCATTAGTGGAGAAGCGGCTGAGTCAGACGAAAAGGCTGAAAACCTCTCTGAATACTTCTGTGACGTCTTCTCGTCTGATAGTACCACCCAGGGATATGGCGAGGTCACTGCCATCGCCACTCAGATGCCCTCAATTGTGGTAGAGCACACAAAGGTTCTCAAACTACTGTCTAAACTGAAGCCAGGTAAATCACCTGGGCCGGATGGACTTCACCCTAAGCTGTTAATTTCCTTGGCGGATATAATATATATTCCGCTTACGGAGATTTTCCAAATGTCTCTGACGCAGGCTAAGCTACCCAGGGACTGGAAGGATGCCATTATAAGCCCTATCTTCAAGGACGGGGATAGGCAATTGGTATCTAACTACAGGCCGGTAAGTCTGACATGCATTATTGCAAAGGTATTGGAAACTATTATAAGGGATCAACTATTAGCTTATGTTGAAACACATGGCTTGTTGGCTGTGGAACAGCATGGATTCCGACCAGGACGATCCTGCTTGACAAACCTACTTTTGGCTAGGGAAGACTGGGTTGAGGCCAGAGATAGAAACCATCTGTTGGACGTGGTTTTTATTGATCTTAGCAAGGCGTTCGACAAAGTATCCCACTTAGGTCTCCTTAGTAAACTTAAAGGTTTCGGACTAGACAAATGCCTGTGTGAGTGGTTTAGAGATTACTTAATGGATAGAAGGCAGAAGGTTAGAGTTGACGGTTTGCTATCAGGATGAAAATCAGTATCCAGTGGAGTGCCCCAGGGAACTGTATTAGGCCCCTTGCTATTCCTATTATACGTTAACGAATTACCAGGGATTCTTACTTCATCTTCATTATTATTTGCAGACGACATTAAGATATGGAAAACTGTAAATAATAACGAGGATAGGTCGTCCCTACAAACTGATTTAGCTAAATTAGCTGAGTGATTAAGCCTATGGAGTTTGGAAATGAATGCTAGGAAAAGCGCGGTAATGCACTTAGGTCAGAAGTCTTATGCGTCGTACTCCCTAGGGGATGCAGAACTACCTGATGTTAACGAACAGAAGGACCTAGGAATCATTGTCAGCAATGATTTGAAAACAACTGCAAATTGCAATGCAGCCGCAGCTAAAGCTTTTCGAATGCTATGGGCAATTCGAAGGGCTTTCAAACGATTAGAGAAGGGAATGTTCCAAATACTCTACGCAACATATGTCAGGCCTCATCTAGAATACTGCATACAAGCAACGAGTTCTTGCTTCAAAAAGGAGGCACACATTCTGGAAAGAGTACAGAGAGTAGGAACAAAATTAGTTAGTGGTATCTCACACCTTCCTTAGGATAAGAGGATAGAGCATTTAAATCTGTTCCCGTTATCATACCGAAGGAAGAGAGGCGACTTAATTTTAGCATACCGTACACTTAAAGGTGATTTAGTAACTGACCTTTCTAACCTTTACTCCCCTTCTAGGATACATTTACGGGGTTACCGCAAAAAGGTGCTCAAACCGAGGACGATTAAAATATGTGCAGAATTTAGATTCTCTCACAGATTGATCAACGACTGGAACTCCTTAACTGATTCAGTAGTAACAGTTCCATCGGTGAACGCTTTCAAAGAGAAGTTAGATCTCTGCAGAGATATATTTTGCAAGGATTAACACAGGCCACAAGAGCATTCTATCCTTATCATCTGAATCTATACCCACTGGGTTTGCTTATCAGAGTCGTTCCAGTCCTCGCAGCCCATATTCAACAGTGAGTGTGTTGAAAACTTACAAACTAGCTCCTAAACTTGTCTGCATCTAATAAAAATGTAGATCAAAGTCAAAAAAGCAATAACTGAGATAAAATGACGTTTCGAACAAAATATATCACGTGAACGCAAAGTAAAAATAACCTTTTGTTTCCAAGCAGATTATCAAGGTCAAAAATTGACTTACAGATTGTTAGTAAAAGGGATATATGCCATTTAAATTGCCTCATCAACTGAACTTTCATGAGCGATGCATGCAACTCAGCATTTGCACGCACTGCTTCAGAATATTCGGATTGGCAGACAACACTCGATAACTCTTTTCTTAATATTATGACCTAGAATGGGGATACTGAGGACAATACTATTCAGCGAACTTTTTCATGGAGTGCTTCCAATTCGGGATCATACTGGAAGGTATTTGACGTGGAAATAGGTAAAACTAATACATAATATTTTATTAAATGACTTTACTTAAAGTATTAAAGTTCTCTAATTCATTGCGTTGTGAAGCTTCTTCATCAATCCTTGCATATGAGTCTGTATCTGTAGATAGATTTTCAGAGTATTCCACAATGCGTTCCATTTGACACGATTCACATGTCCGCGGAGTATCACCATTGGAAAGCTATTACGACCTTGAAAGCAAGTACCCAATCAGATATTAAGCAACTGCTCATGGAATATTATAAACAAAACTAGCTATTCTCTTCTTTTTTAAAGATGATGATGGTCTATCTCTAATGGATAGGAAACCGCTATGTATCCTCTGTGCGCCGGCATTCTATAACTTTAGTAGTATATGAAGACACTGGAAGGACTATTCAGTTTGGAGGGAACTTCGAGGTCTATTCTGGGACCATGGCAACTCATTTCCCATTGAAAATATCTGGACAAAACTAAGATCGTCAAAAATTCCAGATAGGGTCTTTATAAAGACTATGTTATCTTCAGAACTACTATGAAGAATGCCACATTTATACAAAAGTGGAATTTTACCGACGAACTCCCTTATAATATGAGCGACTGTTTCTGCCACTCCGCTGAGTGCTGAAGTAAATGCAGTGCTAAAATAATTATAAGTCTACAGCTTAAATCATTCGAAATCACACGCTGATATTCACTATTTATGTCTACTGGCTAAGTTCAAAGTATACTGTCAAGCACCTACGATATTTGGACACACTGTCGAATTACGCTAAGTTGTTCGACCACAGTCTCGAGTTAGCTAGGCAGAAATCACTGCATCCTGAAACTTGCCAGAGACAAGTTTCCACGGTTTGTCTATAAAAACTGTAGGGATAGGAATGCAAGTGAGCTTCTTCCCATTTTTAATCAGTTGCCTCTCTTTTAACGCTAAGTGGAACGAAAAATACAACATATTATGCCATTATGGATAAGATTTTATTTTAATAAATAGCACAGTGTTGTACAGTTAATATTAGTGTACAACACTGTGTAATCTATCACAATAAAGTCTTGTCACTAATGGAGATATACTCTACCAAAGTGCCTAAGTTTTATACTTATAACAACATATTAGTGTTTACTAAGCAGAAACTCAACAGTCGCAACTTCGCTTTCACTATTACCTAATGGACATGACTTGCATGCTTCCTGATAACTAGTAGAAATTAGACATGTTCGGAGTGCATCTTCTCTATATTATTTTATAATTTGTTTTCAACTTCACGTCAGGATTTTGTTAGCATATATCCTGTGAGCTCTAGGCCTCCTGTACTAAAGTGAGAGATGCTACAATAAATTGCTTTGTAATGATAATTTATTCGTAATACAAAGTTTTCCAAGCGAATTTATTCTATTCCGTGGTTAGTAGACCCTACGTATCTGGTGCTTGTCGTGATCTACAAAGAGGCATTAACTTGTTGTTTCTGGAAGCTCAAATAGTTGAAATCCCACCACCAATTTGCCTTCGAGTTGTCGCCTAACGTACGTGTATTGCCTTCGACGGAAGATAAATTGCCCTGCTCAAAAGTAACAGTACTAGCAGCAGAAACGTTGTCCTTTCTAACGAAACAATCTCCTTCAGTGAGTAGAAGAGTCGCCTGAGGTTGATCTAAAGACCAGATTTGAACATGAAGTCTACACTGTTTATCGAGTCAGAAAACGCCTCTCCTCTTGGCACTATGACGCGTCATTGTTTATAGTTCACATGTTATAGGAAGCCTGCTCAGGGTCAAAGTAGACTCTGTGATAGGTTGATAAGTTGTTCTAGGAAATGCTGATGCCAATATAGTTGAAGATTGAACGATCAATTCATGGTTGTTTGCTCAAACCCAACTTTCCCAATTTTTCGTGGAGGAATCAATCAGCCAGTCATCGTCTCATCGGTCGCTGTTCAGAAAGAAGTCAGGACAAAACCGTCAGAAGTAATATCGTGATTTATTATTGTAATACTTGTTCATAGACCTTAGTTGTAAAGTTGGCTATATGTTGGTGTTAGAATAAAGAATTCTCGGGTCGCCAATCTGTGTTCTAGTTTTTGCGTCCGTTCGTACTAAGCGTTTCTGAGAAGCTTCGAGGAACAGCGTGAGGCCCAGCGTAGCAAGAGCTGGGCATTAACGGTTAACGAGATGTGACTGACAGTTTCTGACGGTACGGTGTCAACTTCTGATGGACTGAAGTCAGTTGCTGACGGACTCGGACAGTTCGTGACAGTTTGGATAGTCACCATTCACCTATCCTGATGCCGGCGAAGTCTTCTTTGAACAAGCAGTATCTTGAACATTTTTGGAATTGGGTCAAGTTCAACAATGTCTGGGTCAAAGAAGGGACAGAGTGTCTTGGATGCAAACAGGAAAGTAAGTCATGGTGACTTGTCTGTTAATTGTAACGATGTGTCTGATGTTAAGCATGACATGGTTGATGTTACTGTTTCGCCGTTCAGGGATGATAGGAACATCAAACTCCCTAAATTTGAACCACGGTGTTTCGATGGAAACCCGGCTGATTATTTACAATTTGTAAAGGAATTTGAGATCATGTTGAGTGGTTTTTTATTAAATGATGAAATGAAGTTAACGTATTTGATGAGGTATTGCATTGGAGTTGCTTCGAGAGCTATACAGTGTTGAAGCCAAAAGAGGGCTACTATGAGGCTATGAGCATATTACGTCAAGGCTTTGGAAGACCTTCGATGATTGCAGGGAAATCACTCGAGGCTGTTAAAGTTAATGGTGGTCAATTACAAGATGACTCCTAGGCACTCAATGAGGTTTTGGACAATCTGTTGACTTACAAGATTGCATTGATTTCGATGGATTGCATGAGTGATCTCAACTCGAGTTTCCTCCTAGAAGTAATAGCAAGACGTCTACCTACTCGACTGCAAAGGAAGTGGGTGAAGATAAGCTCCCGTATGAATGGTGAGGGTATCGAGCTAAAGTTCGATGATATTCTAAAGCTGGTAAATACTAGTGTCAATCAATCTATGAGCAAGTTTCCCGGTCTATTACATCTCACTCCTAGAATAGAGCAGTCTGAGGGAGAAACGCAATCATTGATGACGAGTAGGCCTCAGAGAGATGGATATCGAGAAGGCTCCATGATGTCTAGTGATGCATATAGACCTAGTGAGTGTAACAGGTTTCGTAGTACATCCTCAACAGATAAGTTACAAGATGCAAGACAAACACGGTTTTGTTTTACATGTTTGCAAGAGGTGCATACAAAGGTGAGCTGTGAATCAGTGAGCAAGTTTAGTGACAAGCTGAGTGTGAAATCAAGGTCTGACTCCGAATTGCGTGACGATAACGGTGCGGTGAAGAAGCCTGTAGTTGCAATTAGTAAGCCATTGTTGAAGAGAGTTATAGTTTCAGAGTGCAGTTCTGACCCCATAAGTTTACAAGGTATTACTAGTCAGAGTGAAGGTATAAAACCTTTGGGGATTTGTGAGGAAAAACCCAAATCATCCACTGCTGTTATTAAAGAGTTTGAAAATGATGACGGTAAATTGAATATTTGTGATAATGATCATGACAGTGCACATTTCTCTTTGGTTGATCATGATGAAATGAGGGGAATGCCTACTACCGCTAAGTTGAACAAAGGTTCTGTGCAACCACAACGTGAAGTAGAATTAAATGCAGATGCAGTTGCAGAAGTTATGGATACTTGTGAGACCGTCAGTGTAATTGATCAGCGTGAACCCCATCTATAATCAGATAATAGTGCTAAACCGAAGCTAATAGTAAAAGATAGAATTGATGGTAATCTTGCAGTTAGACAACTATCTGAAAGCCGAGCAACAACAGCTTCTCATCCACCGCTAACTTCATCAACTGGTATCAATCAGTCGTCGTTGGTGTTGTCATCCACAATGAAACAGATGCCCATCAACTCAAGTATCTTGTGCAATGACTATGATAATATTGGTGCATTTGAAAAGACGAAAGGTATTGCTCAGTTTAGTGAGGATAGGCCAAGTGTAAACGAGAGAGTAATTGTTAAATTGACTTGCATGAACCAAGGCATTTCTAGTTTCAAGTTACTATTTGAATGCTATTATCTTCGGTGTAAATTAATCTGTGTCTACGCTTGGTTGACCAGATACGTCGTGTGTTTGTTAGTCATCTTTATTCTACGATACAATGACATGAGCGTGTTACCGTTCAGATTTGAGGATATGGCTGATAGAAGGAAGTCAGCAAATGAACTATGCAACGATTTTCCAACCTAGAGCGTCAACCTGAGAAGGGTTGTAGGCGTACTGCTGTAAGTCCTACAATTCTTCAAAGGGTAGCGCATCAATGAGCGGTCCAATGTGTTTGGTGTGTGATTTTGTACATATGTTCATATTGCATATACTGAATTGATATCATCTGTCATCTAGCTGTTGGCAATTCTGTTTGTGTCCGGACGACTTCCACTTGGATCATCAACCTGAGAAGGAATGTAGGCGTACTGCTGTAAGTCCTACAGTTCTTCAAGGGTAGTTTGCCGTGCCAGAATCCACAACATTGACGTATTGATTGTACATATGTTTGTGTTAAATACTTGTGTGAGTTCCAATTATTGTAATTGTTGGTTAGTCTTGATTGTGTCCGGACATTCCACAAATTACAATCGTCAACCTGAGAAGGGTTGTAGGCGTACTGGTGTAAGTCCTGCAATTCTTCAAAGGAATTCCATCAAAACATGATCCGTGAGGTTATTTGTACTGTTTGTGTATACGTGTGGTGTGTCATATCAATTGGTGTATTTTGGACTCATTGTGTTTACGTGTTGTTTTCGTACCTTGTTTTTATTGCATAATTTTGTTAAAATTTTCGTCGTGATTACTTCTGAAGTTGTTTCGAGTCTTCTACATCCGTGAATGAATTGATTGATGTTAAAGACAGCAGATGGGTCGTATACGCCGGAGAGGCTAGTGCTGAGAATGACATGCATACGGAGATAATTGTTAGCTGCGGTCCCACACGCCGGGGAGAAAGAGTGTAAACGACTGAGGCTCGCATACGTCACCGTTACTAGAACTGAGGCAGAATGAGTGACAAGCGATTTCAGTGGTAATTGGTAGTGAGTAGATAAGAGGATGTGCGTAGAGTATCATGAGTTGGTGCTATG